ATCTGGAAGCGGCACCCTGCACGTGCGCACGTGCAATATGGGTCCCAACTGCCTTGTGCACGGCACCCTTCTAACTGGTCCCTAACCGTGTACCAAATTTGAGCGCCATCGGTCCAGCCGTTCTCGAGATCTGGAAGCGGCACCCTGCACGTGCGCACGTGCAATATGGGTCCCAACTGACTTGTGCACGGCACCCTTCTAACTGGTCCCTAGCCGTGTACCAAATTTGAGCGCCATCGGTCCAGCCGTTCTCGAGATCTGGAAACGACCCCTGCCCTGCACGTGCGCACGTGCAGCAGCACCCCATTTCTGGCACATGGATATACATTGCCGGTGGGTGCGTATTTGTATGCCAAGTTTCAGCGCAATCGGCCGAGTAGTTACCGAGATATTGCAATTGTTACAAAACTGACACTTCTTCGTATTGCACGTGGCACGTGCATAAGGGGTCACCCACATGCATCGGGAACAGTCCAATACTTGGTAAAATGAATGAAGCTACCCTACAAAAATTACCGCATGTACATCGGTCAAGTGGTTGCTGAGATATAAGCCTCGCAAAAGCGCTACTTATGCAAAATACCCTGAACAGTGAACACCCCTGACTTTTCACGTGGCACGTGCTACGGCAGTCACCTAGACGCATCATGAGAAGTCAATTATGGGGCAGAAGGGATGGGGCTACCGAACAAAAAAGACCGCAGGCTAATCGGCCCAGTGGTTGCTGAGATATCAGCCTCTCAAAAGTGTTACAGGCCGTCTTTAAAAATAAGAGGCCAAAGTGGCCTCTTATTTTTGGCGCCAAAAACGAGTGTCCAATCCAGGTAGTTCATGTTATCTATGGTACGTATAAATATCTTGGGTATCAAGTGTCTAATGATTTCTCCAGAGCAGATGATCTAGAAATCCGCCAGCAATATCGAGCATTGTGCTGTAGAGCCAACTCGCTCATCCGCAAATTTGCGATGTGCACGCACAGTGTGAAGAAGTGTCTTTACAATGCTTACTGCTCAAATGTCAGCTATGTACACTTGTGGCATTCTTATCACTTGTCTGATCTGAGAAAGTTCAAGGTCTGTTTTAACAACGCCGCTAGGATGTTTTTCGGCTACGAACGGTTCTGTAGTGCTTCTGATATGTTTGCTCAAGAGCATATAGATGGTTATGATGCACTGTATCGCAAAGCTGTATATAACTTTATGTCACGCTTATCCATGTCTGAAAATCGTATAATATCTGCACTGTACAACAATGACCTAAAATGCTCTTCATCTATTAGGAGGGTGTGGTCTCGAGCGTTATATGGATGGTAGACGCTACCATGGACCGGGGTGACTGTTGAACACCCCTTTTAGTTATGGACTTCGTGTCTGTTAATAAAGTGATCTCTCTCTCTCTCTCTCTCTCTCTCTCTCTCTCTCTCTCTCTCTCTCTCTCTCTCTCTCTCTCTCTCTCTCTCTCTCTCTCTCTCTCTCTCTCTCTCTCTCTCTCTCTCTCTCTCTCTCTCTCTCTCTCTCTCTCTCTCTCTCTCTCTCAAAATAAGCGATCTGAGACAATCACTAATATTTTTTTCAGAAACGGCCTGTTTAGCCAGATGCAGGTAACAAATATTTGTTGTAACAAATAACCTGAGATCTTATGTTTTTGCGAGACTATTTCGAGCGGGCCCTCTTATATTCAAAATGTACATACATAATAATTTGCAGCTTCTCCACAAACTCAGGAACATTAATAAGGTTACGCATGCCTGCGCATGTCCCTTTCGTGGGACTCTCGAACATGGGTACCGGATGGCGTGTGATCTCAACAAGAAACGGAGTAAGGAACCGTCACCGAATGCTGAATTTGTCCAGCGTTACCTATGTACCATGGTTTATATCATGGCTGGAAGGAGAACCCGGCTACATGATCTTTTCCGGACGATCTGCGAAGGCGTCGTTCGCACAGCGCTGAACGTTACTTTTTTAACTTATGGCAGTGCAGCACAGAAAAGGAGTTGTATGTATGTATGTATTGATATCAAAAGTCTCCTTGGATACCAGGACATGCAAATAACAGCCGTTTTCACGGCGGCTATCTGGTACACATTTGGTGGTGCAAATTTGGTGCAGAGTTGGTGCAGAGATGGTCAAATTAGGTTCAATGTGCTTCAGCTTGGGTTATCAGCTTGGGTTGCACAGTTGCTTTTATACCGATTTTTTTTCAAATTAGCAGGCATCATTTTCGATAACAACACTAAAATGAATTAAGATATGAAGATATTAGCTGTAAGAGATTTGGTGAAGATTTGGTCACGTTTGGTGCATTTAATATTCGTCGTGAAAACGGCTACTAAGACGCATAAGCGTTGTCACAACAACCCGTCGACACCAGTGACATGAACACTAAACAGGCTGTGGCCGAAGATGTTCATTGCGTAAAATCAAACATAAATCAGGGTGAAATGATATAGATATCGTTCTTACATTCAAAGGCGGGCATACAAATGCGAAAATAGCCTTTAGTGGCTATGGTCATTATTCGGTTGTTAGTTTCCACAGGCTTGAGCAAACCCACCAAATAGCCACAGCAAGCTACGGTAACTCATTACACCCCATCAAAGTCCAAACTGGGTGTAGTTAAACAGTAAGATATTGGAATTCGATTAAACAATGGGGACTTCCGTCTATAAATATTCACGCTTGACTTTGGCATCTTGTGGGTTTCAAAATAACGAAGAAGGTTTTATTTTGCACATAGTGCAAGTGCACATGGTCGAAGGTTTTTATATCGTGACCTTTCGGTAGCTCTGTACACTTACTTGCATGCCATTGTCAGCAAACTCATCAATCGTCTATTGTAACAAATTGTTCGGAAGTTCGTAACGACTCGATTTAGAATAGCGACACGAACGCTGACGATGGTATGCAAAAAAAGTTGGGAAGCTCGCTCGGTATAACGAACTGCAGATAATTCTAGCCCAGGCTGAACAGCTACCGTAAAACAATAAGGCTTTCATTTGAACCCAAACTGACCTAATTTGACTACGTTTGCACCGATTAGTACTACCTACTTAGCACTGAAAAACGGATGATTTCAGTGACTTAATTACTTTTTTCACATAGATAGAACTTACATTTTACTTCTCTAGGGAAAATTAGTCTAACCAATGCATCTCAAGATACTCGTAGTTATCTGCTTTAGGTGTAGCATTCCAGAAACTATGATATCTATAAGTTAGAAGTTATGCGGCTACATTTGTTAGTTTGCCAGTTAAAAGTTACGTCGACTGTCGTCATATATCACAGAATTTGGACATAATTCTAGATTTAGTTGGCGACTGGCATCGTCTTGCCAAATAACTTGGATAAATGGCAGTTGCAGCATTGCTGAGTGAGGGACTAAATCCAAGTGCCATGATCAGGCGGTGAGTTTAGTTGGAATGATAACTTTGATTAATACAAACATCAGTGAAATCAAGGCCCTAAAACTAGAGTGAAATTGATTTAAAAGTGAGAAGAGGCTTCTCGCAGACACCTCGGAAATACTCGCTAACAGTATTTAGACTTATTCATCAATACAGATCGCTTATTGCGATGTTGGCAACTAACCACAGTACCACAAAGGCTGTACGTTTCTTGTTTCTTTTCAAAGAGTCGCGTTTCCACAGGTCCGTGCGATCAATCCATGAAAATTTTGCCTTCAGGAGCATTTAAGTTACCTAATGTTTTTTTTTTTCATTGTTTTAAAAATTAGATAGTCACAACAAAATACGGCTTGCCTATGATAATTTGTTCATGCATGAAATATAGATGAAAGCACAAATGCTATTGAAAATAACTAAACTCTAAGGATAGTTCAACGATAGATTATGCAAACACATTGGGCTCGGTCAGATAGTCGTGCTATCACGTCACGCATAAAACTCCTATAACTGTTTATACCGATAAGAAATACGTGATAAGCAAATGTGATAGCTTATCTGCTTGTTACAGATAACATTGATAAGGATAGTGGAAGGATAGTGCATAGTGGTACTTCACCAAATTGTGTAAATAAGGTAGGCTTTTAGGTTTGACTCAGAATTCACAAGACCATTTCAATAACTCACAGTTCAGTGAGGATTCTATCAGGTGGGATGCACGGTAGAAAGTCTCAAGCCCTAGCCAAAGATATAAGGCTTGGAACTTGCAACGGGATGACGCCTATTCCTCAAGGTTCACGGTCATCCGTAAGAGAGGCTAAGTGATTGCCGAATCAGCCGATGAGCGGACGTGGCTAGCCCGTTTGAACATGATTGGTGGATGTCTCCGCATCGTCCGCTGAAAATAGTGCGCTACGCGGCTGCTGCTAAAAAAGTACTTATTATTTTACTGCTTTAGAAGCTTATAGATAAAGCTTGACTATCTTAGTGATCAGCAAAGTAAATCTTTTTGTTTTGCCTTCCACTCGTGATTGCCTTAATTCTTATCAGCATGCACTTAAAAACACAGGGAAGAAGGGACGTTCATGAGGAGATGCGTGAAGGACACAGAGGTTAGCATCAGCCGAGCAAGCAACAAACACTTGGACAACGAGAGGGGTTCGCAATACCCATCGAGCCCAAAGTCGAGATAAAGATCAGTAGTTTCCTTCTCCCTTCATTTCTGTCGAGTCACGATCGATCTCCCCGATCCTATATCGACGCTGCCGGGCTCGACGCAATCCACCCCTGTCTGAGCTGAAACATGCTATGCGCCCTGCCGTACTTCTGTGTAAGCCGTTGTCAGTCCGTGGTCAGTAAAAGTGTTGACATAATTTTCTCATGATATTCTAACTTGTCATCGCTATTGAGTAAGCAAGAGCCAAACAAAGAGCAGACCACCACAATACGTACCGCAGTGTTTCAATGCAAAGGAAGAAAACGCTACGTCTCACACCTCTGGAAGCACTGGGACCTCAGCCTGAGTGTTCCGCGGTCCATCGTCTAGTAACACAACCCATAACCCACAGACGACTTCGTCTACAACTGACTCTCTTACCTTGACCTCTCGATCCGATAGGGCTGCGGCGGCGGCGGCGGCGGCGGCGGGGCGGGGGCGACCCGGCTGTATCGGCAGCTGGCCGGCCGTATCGGGCCGCGGTTTCTGGCTCACTATCGCTGTCGACAGCTGGCTGCGTCGCGCCGCGGCCGGGGCGGGGCCTCCGCCAAGGGGCGGAGCCTCACCTCAGCGGTCATCGCTGGGCGCCGGTGACCGAGCGCGACGGGCGGCGGCGGCGGCGGCGGCGGTGGCGGCGGCAGCGCGGCGGCGCGGCGGCGGGCGGCGGCGACGGCGGCGGCAGCGGCGCGGCGGCGGTGGCGGGCGGCGGTGGCGGCGGAGCGGCGGTGGCGGCGGCGGCGGCGCAGCGGCGGCGGCGGAGGACGCCGCGAAGTCAGCAAAGGGGACTGATTCAGACTCGCTGATTGTGTCAGATACGAGACACACATATAGCAACTAAAATTGTGTGGATAAGGACTGGAACTGATTATCTACTAGAGCAGAGCATCTACACTCTACAGATTTCACCTGGTTCATACTAGCCGTTTTCACGACGGGCTATCCGGCGAGTGCACCTAATTTGACCAAATCTGCACTTAATCTCTTTTACAGCAAATATCTTTATTTTATGAATTTATTTCAGTGTTTTAATCGATGATACTCTCTGATAATATGACAAAGCAGGCATATAAGCAATTAGTGCAGCCCTAGCTGATAGCTACTAAGAGACACACTGAATCTAATTTGACCAAATCTGCACCTAATCTGCACCAGATGTGCACCAAATGTGTACCAGATGGCCGTCGTGAAAACGACTACTGACGTCCGGACTGTGGACAAAGTCAGGATCAAGGGCGGAACGAGGACACATCCGCCGGAGGAGCTGCCTTAGTCGGAGACCCGTAAAAAGAAGGCTATTCGGAATTACGTTACGGTCTTGGCATCACTGGAAAGTTGCAAAGTTGCACTGATAATGTTGCATACCCACCTATCAATCGATCTGTACCGTTGCGTTTAACCCGGCAGTTGCTGAGGTATTTTGCCACGCGCCGTTTGCTGGGGGGGGGGCGTTAAACGCCCCCCCCCCCCCCAGTCGATAACTCAAGAACCAATAGGCGCAGCGAAACGCACGAGGCGGCAAACGAAAGAACGCGACGAGACGCTTCAGATAGGTACTTAACAGTTTAATTTTGAGGTCACAGGTCTGGTCAATGTCAGGTCAAACACCTGAAATCGGGCTTTCAATAGCATGGACTTCAGAACCTTGCAATGGGCGCCTCTCGTCATCAACTCTGTCAAAACGGTGCACAATCTTTCATATAAGGCCTACAAGAGGAAGATCCATGAAAGGGTCAGTCAAACATAGGTCAGGGTCAAGGTCAGATCAACCAGGTAGGCACATATCCCCGAAAATCAGAACTGATATTCGTAGCCTGTGACACATGATTTATGGGTAATTTTGGGGCGTAGAACACGATGGTGACATTCATTTTATCATATTTGTACGTGTTTGGTTCAAAAAGTCCAATTTAAGAAATGGTCGTTAAGTAGTCACGAGAAATTGCCAAGATTCAGTTCAAGATTTTGGAAAATGCGGAACGATAATCGAAAATGGAAGATGGCCATTTGATTGTTCATGGTATTGGCAGTCAAATGGCATTTACGGCATGTCTGTATGTCTATTCCGTGATTTTATATGATTTTTTGAACATATGCCGTTTTTTGCTGAAAACTCAGAAATCATGACGTCACTAAAACCCCCAGTAAACATGCCGACGTCGGCCCAACGTCGGTTCAACCTCGGCCCGACATCGGCTGGACGTCGGATATGCCCGCATGTTCCGACGTCCAGCCGAAGTCCAGCCGACGTCGAGCCGACGTCGGGCCGAGGTCGTTTGACGAGGTTGACGAGATCGTTTGTCGTTGGACCGACGGGGCCGACGTCGGCATGTTTATTGGGACAACGCGCCAAAAATATCAACCGGCGGCGGGATTCGAGCCCCCCAGTCGCCGACGTCGGCATGTTTACTGGGACAACACGCCAAAAGCATCAGCCGGCGATGGGATTCGAAACACGTGTCATTTGAACGCTAGGTCATTGCGCTAACCACTACACCACGCAGCCAGACAGCGAGTTTAGTTTGTTTTGTTGGCCTATGCCCTTTCGGTCTGACAAGACCATTTCAGAGCCGGAAGGATGATAGGATGGAGACATTGGTCTTCTTGGCGAGCACCCTGGGTCCAGTTCATATAGAGTCCCTGGTCCCATTGCTGTTACATGACACTTATTGGAAAGGGCGACCCCACAATGGATTCATATAGCCACTCTTACACACCTGCACCAACGTTTCCCAAAGTGTCCCTTTGATAAGTGGCACTTTGGCAAAGTGACACTTGCCGACTGGCCTTTCTATATGAACTGGGCCCGGCCCTGGTGAGTTCAACCGTTCCGTGCTTCTATCCTCAGGATACTGAAATCCTTCTCCTCCACGCCGCGACTCCCCTCCGGCCTGGACAGGCAACTTAATCTCATGAGGGCTGCTCCCTTGGAGCGGCACCGCTGCTCCCGAGGGAGCGCACCCCGTAGCCGGGTGCAGTGAGTACCTTGGGGCTGGTCGGTCTGTCGCTCGGGATGGGCTCAGCCCCGGTGACTCACTAGGGTGCCTGCCCAGACCAATGTCTCCCCCTAATTCCTAATATCCTTCCGGCTCTGAAATGGTCTAATTGGACCGAAAGGGCCTAACCCAACAAAACAAACAAACAAACTGGTGAGTTGCCGGGGCTGAGCCTGACTAAAGGATAGGCCGAGCAGCCCCCAAGCACTCACCGCAGCCGGCTACGGGCGAGCTCGGCTTACGGGCAATCCCAAATGGGATAAAGTTTCCCGTCCAGTCCGGATCAGGGGGTTGCGGCGTGGAGGAAGATTTGAGTTTCCTGAGGATATTTTGAATACAGAAGCTCTTTATGAACCATGAAACATGTATTTTATTTTATTTTTAACGGTCAAAACAGCGGCCGATGTCGGTCCGACGTCGCCCCGACGTCGGCCCGACGTCGGCTGGACCTCAGCAATTGATGTCGGTCCGACGTCGGCCCGACGACGGCTGGACCTCGGCTGGACGTCGGTACATGCGGGCATATCCGACATCCAGCCGACGTCGTGCCGAGGTTGGGCCGACGTCGGCATGCCGATGCCGAGTTGCCGACGTCACCCCGACGTCGGCCGACGTCGGACCGACGTCGGCATGTTTACTGGGCCTGGATATCTCAAGAAATTCCGACCGATTTTTTTTGAAACTTTGTCACAATAAACTTCAATCAACTCCCTACAGGAACCTAAATTTTATAGCGCGGCGAAAAAAGTGGGGGCATTTACCCCCCCCCCCCCCCCAGCAACTCGCGGGTTAATAGTTTCAGTAAATGAAGCCAACGTGTTTTTAGTGACGTAACCAAGGGGTCATGCCCCTCCCCCTCTCTGAGCGCCGAAGGCGCGCTGGAGCCTCTAAGGCCACGGAATAATTCAGGGAGACCCTGCGCTATGCCCCCTTCTTTAACCCTCGCCGGCACAGGGGGTGATGCAATCCCCCCCCCCTAAGGTTTCTCGCGAATACCTCGCGTAAAAAGCGGCCGATCGCAACGAAACTTTCAGTACCCTCGCATTGATTAATTTTACACCTACCCAGAAAATTTCATGACCCTGACCCAAATAACCTTTGACCTATGACCCACTTTTCGAGACCATGTTTGGCCGGAATCGCGATTCGGCGTATGTCGGCTCGCATTAGCCGCGCATTTGCAAGCTTTTCGTGGTTTCAAACGTTCAAACATGTAATTTGATGTTGCTCCCATGCATTAGGGTGGATGTCAAGGTCACCTGAAGGTCAGGTCAGGTCATTGACCTTTGGTGACCTTGGTTCACTTTTTCGAGTTTTACATATTTCTAGGCTAGTTTTTGGAGCTGATTTCGAATTTAGCAGCCATTTGAACAATTACGAAGTAGTTTTGGTGCCTTCGTAACATATTACGAATTTGTCAGAGGCGGTTGACACGCATTATAAATGCCCGTCACGACCCCTACCGGTTGACCTGACCTGACCTGACCCGACCTGGGCTAAATGCTTAAAGACATCATCCCTGACCAAAACTAACACGATATTCGTGATCAGCACCCCGGAAAACCCTATGGCAGCCACACTTTACGACTTTTTACAAGGTCCCGCGATTTTCCCGATTTTTGGGTCATTGACCTGACCTGGAAAGTCACCCGATGACCTAGGACCTTAAAATTGGATATCATCGACTTCCTCTGTGACGGGCAGCACGCTCGTTTTTTTCTGCGAAGCTCTAGCTCGATCAGGGGCCAAATGCGAGGGGGGGTTCGTACCAACCCCCCAACCCCCTTGTGCCGTCGAAGGACGCAAAATGGCCTGTGCCGGCAAGGGTAATTATGTTCGAACATGATTTGAAAGTTATAGATACGTATTGTAGAAAAAGAAAATATCATAAATTCATAGGCGGCGGAACGGGGAGGGCACCGGGGCACCGTGCCCCCCCCCCCTTTGATTTTGGCATTTTAATATTACGCCTATGGGCGTTGCATGGAAAGAATGGGACCAAAAGTCGGCAGTGCCCCCCCCCCCCTCCTTAATTGAAGGTGTTCCGCCGCTACTGATCACCATACCTACGATTCGTCCCGAAAAAACTGCATCAGACAAACCCTCGCCCGCACATGCCATTTTCCCATCCTAGAACGCACATGGGGGGGGGGTTGCCACCCCCCGCGCCATTTCGTTCCTGTTGGAGATAGAGCTTAGCTGTAAAGACCAAAAAGATTTTTTGGGAAGAGACGAATCCAATGATACCCAGTTTTACCTTCTCAGGTCAGTCATTGACCTTCCAGGTCAGGTCAAACTAAAAAATGTTGCGTTTTTGGGTCACCGTTGGATATCAAGTGCGCTGCCTATCATATACCGATGACGATGCTGTTTTCTGTTGCCAAGCCAGCTAGAACCTCTTTGTCACACTACCCGACCAGATTTTTGCTGCTGAGGTCATTTCAGGTCAAGTTAGGTCAAGGTCAATTAAATGTGTTTGTATGTCTGTGTGTGTCTG